TGATTGAACCAAACGTACCTCGGTATTTTGTTGGCCGGCTAGTCTCCCCAAAAGTAAACCATAGAAGGCTTAAGATAATCTCGTCGCCACCCCAAATCCCGGCGAAATACGGCTGTTGTATTACCTTCGAAAAGGCCTCGGCAAGCCCACTTATGGCCACGAGCTTGTCGCCTTGGTAAGTCAACTTGGAATTCGTATATTTTTGAACCAGATCCCACCAGCGAGCAGCATGACTAATATAACCCGATACCTTTTCTGAAGTTACCAAGTCTCGTTCAGATTCCGGAAGACTAGGGAAGCCTAGCCTATGTGGTTTCAGATTTTCGGAGTATGTCTCCGTGGCCAAAGAGGTGTAGCATTCCCAAGCCAGAAAGTCGGCAAAGTGTATGATGCGCGGGCTTAGAAGCCGCTCCTGTAATACCCATGCCCGGAAATAAAGCTTTGCCCAAGTCCTCGTAAGAGTCACCCAGTCGGGGATCAGAGTAAATCTGACCGAGCAATTCAAGTATTTTTGCGTAAACACCAAAGGTCTTCCACTTCGAGGGTTCCTAGTCGAGAAGAGACTTGCGGACGAGTCTTCACCATTGCATGCGCTGATATTGCAGATTCCTTGGCGGTAAACTTTCTCCATCATGGAGGCCTCGTGGGACCAATCTTCAGGAGAGTCCTGGATGATACTGAGTGTTATGTCAATAGGTGCACGGCCATGCTCCACGGTGGGCGAAACTCTCGGGACGTACCATAGCGAATCTATCCACAGATACCGGATGCGAAGTCGTCGAGCAACCTTCACAACATCTTGAAATTTGCGAGGAAGGTTGTTTAGTTCTATTCCCCTTTCCAAATTTGCGATGTTAGCTGTGGTTAACTTCATGGGATGGACTTGCCCCCAGACGTGACTCAGAGTTAGATATCTTATTTTGTCAAGCTCGGTGTTTGCTGGCAAGTTGTGCGTTTGGAAGAGATTAATAGCATCTGTCGGCCCGGGATGGACATCCAGTAGCCGTGACGGTACCCAAGCCTCGCGCCTGTGCATACGACAGGTTTCATGTTCCGAGACAAGTCTCTAATGCTCGTGAATAGAAGTCTGTGCATGATTCGTCCTCGGTGGAACTTCCGACCGGGTTAGTGAGTGAGCTGAGAGGGCGAGCTGTGATTGTTAGAATGCGCCTGACCAAAAGCAACAAAATCGCGGGCTTCTAACATGTGTCCGCATCTTGCACGGCTATACATAACTGTAGCGTTAATAGAATCTTTCCGCCTTGTGACACAGAAAATTGAAGCGATTCTGGCCTGGAAGTCCCATACCCCAAGATCATGATGCTCATAAGAGTGGACGTAGCATGTATCTCTTCTCTCGCAGCGTACCGAATCATCGCCGCCAACATTTCGCACATCTGACACACGTTCGAAGCAGCCGACATTTTCAAATCCGCCCAGGTGCGTCCGGGCCAAATCGTAAGCCAGGTGCCATTGGCATATGGCGTAAAGCTTGTCTCATCCTTCGGATTCCATGGACAAACCGCTAAGGAGCCCGCCGGATCAAGGGATTCGGTGTCATTTTGATATCGTTCCAGTTCATCTTGCAAGTGTTGAACGACAGTAGCATTTGCGCCCCCTCTCACTGCAGATCCTATCGCGTACTTCTTGTCCTGTAGAAGCGTCTGTACAAAATCGGCGCGTGCAAAGGTAAAATCCGCCGTGCACGCATCGCAGATTGTCTGCACCATTATATTTCCGACGTTTTCTCTAAATCGACTGTGGTCATTCTAAGCGGAGGGGATGTGTAAAATGTCAATCACTCATTCAGTGTTATCCATTTTAAAGCCGGAAGCCGTTAACGAATATGTCCATATCCTACCTAACATGAAGAAATTGAATGCTCGCAAATAGCTAGTGCTTACAGCCTAGGTAGCAGCTACGATTCTCTCGCCGGCCTACTCAGACAATATAATACAACGCCACTCGTAAACGAAGAATGGTGATAAACTTGGGAATCCATTTGACGGTGATGGGTCTGCGTGTAACCCTAAGGTTGGCAATTTGTTGGTGTCCTATTCCAATGTCTTTGGATGTGAAGGAGAGATAGCACCGAATAAAGAATAATCTGTCATGTATCGTGGTCCACGTCTGACGTTATGTACATAATGTAGGCAGGAAGGTTGGGTGAACAACCTTAGTTCCAATACCTAAGGTATGCAAATTTCCATCTTTATGCTAGGTACATCCTAATGCACAATTGGGGCTACCTATGTAGCTAGCCTAGCTCTTTGGCGGTACTTCAAACGCCCAAGTGTTTCGTTTCACTAACCCTACATCATTCCTGCCCCTTTTATTGGCTAATGTCGTCCAAGGCTTCCTGTAGGGGCTCGATCCTGGGGTTGAGCTGCTACATAGTAACTTTCTCTTGTTAACTTGTCAACCTACGGGAGCCTGGCGAGCCTGGGAGCTCTCATGGCCAGTTATGAGGTAATACCGACGAGTTGAGATACCCCGAAGGCCGCCTTCCATTGGTCGTCGCGTGCGACGAGCAGGACGAGGTAGGGGCTATAGTTGGTGTTATGTTATAGCTTGCTACAACCAAGTAATCTCGCGAGCTGGGGTGAAAATGGCAAGCTGGATCTCAAATAGGTAAAAGCAGTCGCTCCTGAACCTCTTTTCGCCCTGGTTGGAGTTGTGAACGTTTCTCATAAAGTGTTTCTTCTCTCGCTTCTTCATTTCGTGCCCTGCCATCCACCCGGCCTTTGTATCTCGAACCCGTCCATTGTCCGTCGCTGTCATGGCTTGACCTTTCTTTCGCCCGATACCACGATACTGCGTGCCAAAAATACAGAAGCTGCGCTTCGTTCCATTCAACGTTCATTCTCAACCGCTGTTTCGCATTGACTGTGCCGGTGTCTTTTCCTGCCCGCTGGCTATCGTTACGGTGTACCCTTTCCGTTTGTTCTCTTCTAATATAATTGGCATCGTGTGGTCTTGGTGCCGCTCTTCCCGCCTGTCACTCCCTGACCCGTTACTTAACCGTCTCACAAGTTTGCGCCTTGTATCATTCCACTCTCTCCAAACGGGCGAGCACGACCAGGTCCCCTTTGCATGAGGAGTAATCTTGCCAGTGTATTTTACTAGCCACCATCTACCTACCTTCTTAGCTACCCACATAGGTCCTGAGGATCTCAGCCCGGAGGCTATTGGTGCATAACCTCACCCCCCCAAAAGATATCTCGTGGCCAGACTTCTAGATACGTACCCTGCTGCATCGCCTGATGTCACTGTCGGCATAGAGAACCTTTCTATCCAGGCATTTTGTCTTAGAACGGGAACGTCGGAGTATATAAGCATACCGATCGAGAAACGCATTGACCTCGATCTCTACCGCATCCTGGTCTCACGCGATATCAGTGGGCAAAGTCGCAGCGTATCCGTCATTCACGGCCTCCTGACGCAACTCGTGTTTCGGCGTGCCAACTCCCTCGAGCGAGCTAGATACTCACATTAGACCCAATTTGGTTGACTGGGACGTCGGCCAGCTTGGCATATTGTTGTTCAGGCACAATTCTTGCCTTCGCAGGGTCTCACAGCTTTCACAACATTCATCAAAGCAAGAAATAATCAAGTTCAATTCGCCAACCGACGACGGCTAGGTGCTAGGGGCTTAAACTTACGAAGGAGTTCCCTGCGCCAAATATGACGGGTCGTCGACAACGGTCGCGACGGCGACTTAATCTTATGCCGCTGTGGGCCTTGGCCTCGACCTCCTCGGCTCTCAACTTATCCCAGTTCCAAGTCATCACATCGAACCAAATACCGAAGGCCTGTATTCGCGCCTACCAGAGCGATATAGATAGTTGCACAAAAAGCGATTTTACGAATGGAAGGCAATGCTCCGCTAGTTGTGTGAAAGGTCTGGAAGAGACGGCAGAGAAGATAGACGAAGCGTGTGGAGATCTCAATGTTACTTCGGGGTCGTTGCTTGGGATCGTATTGGCGGGTGGGTTGGTCGATACATTATGTCCCGGATTCCAAGCTACGACAATAACGACGACTGTACAACCCGGGACTACTCAAGGGTTCTCAACGGTGCCCGGTGCGACAACAACAACAACAACCGAGCAAACTACCAAAGAGACCACGAAAGAGACCACTAAAACGACAACTAAAGCGGCATCTACAACGTCGCCAGATACCACTACGACTACTGCTGATTCAACTACAACGCAAGCTACAACGACCGAGGAGACTTCAGCCACGCGCGATATACCGGGCTCTTCTTCGACGAGTTCGTCCACCGACGCTACTTCCGTTGAAACTACAGCGCAATCTACCGTGACGAGCGAACCGTCACAGACAACGGACGATTCGCAAGACGATGCGCCCACGCCTTTCATCGGCGGAAGCCCATTCGACCCTGCGCCTATCCAGAGCTTGGGCACAGTTATATGCTTAGGGTACGACCCGAGAGTCTTAATTACTGCCATCTTCGCCGGTATCCTCCTATTGCGGTAGCAGCGCGCCATAGCGCCGCATATTGGAAAGACGGAAGGATACTCAGTTATGAATCAACACTAGTAATGTCTAAGTAGGGACCGAAAACGATACCAGCATTGTACCAACAAGAAGAAGGCGAGGCGTTTGACGTGGTGTCATCTGGAGCATTTTTGAATTGACAGCAGCGTCGCATAAGTACCTAGAAACGGGAAAAGCAGCGCGAAAGAACTTTGTTAAGGTGGAAAGTGTTTTTGCGACTCACGTTGAAACCAAGTGAGGCTTGTTTTGGAAGAATAGAAGATACCAACGCCCGAGGATTGAGGAATTGATACCTCGCAACTTTGTACACGAGAAAATCCAAGTCTCATTAAGACGAGAAAATGATACGCAGCAAATTTCATTATTATATTTATTATATTGCCGATGTGAGAACTATCCCGACGTTTGACGCTTGCGATATAGCGGCTTTCAGCTGAATCAGTAAATAATAAGCAAAGCAGCATACTTGGAATTAATCCGAATTGGTGTAGTGGCTAACATTTGACGCTCTCAAAGTTGCAAAACATTGGAACCGTCAAGCCCGGGGTTCGATTCCCCGATTCGGAGTTACCTTTTGACAAATATTATTTTAATTATACATTTGTATTAATTTAGGTAGGTACCTAAGGACTGACAAGATTCTACCTGTCCGGCTAAATTGCTATTGGCTAAATTTATACTGGAGCCAACACAGGGTGCCCAAACCGGAGTGCCGAGGTAGAAGAATGATGAGATGTTGAGGACCTCCAATTAATTAACGACATCGGCATCTTATAACTCACGTCGCATGACGACGAGCTAATTCAAACAATCTAGGCTGAAGCAGAATTCCATTATTATTCTTCATTGTGATCGAAGCGTTCCTGCCGCTTGTTTCTTTGTAGCCGGTACGTAGACTTCAACATTTGGTATATACACATCTACCATCTACCCTCATTACCCCCTTTATCGATAGTAAAGCCGCATTTCGCTTCGTGATCGGTAATACCCAAGAACCTACATACCTCTACACCCTACCCGCAGCCCGGTATATCGATCCAGCGTTCCATCCCCTCTTTTTCCTGTTTTGAACCTCTCTTAGAAAAATACCGCCACCATGAGCGCAACCGAAGCCGTCGCGACCTCGACCAGCGACCTGCCCTCGGGGGACCCGGTCCCGTCCTCCTCCGCTCCCGCGCCCGCCCCCAAGCCCAAGCCGTTCCCCCTGGGCGCGCTCCTCGCCGCCGCCCCCTCCAACGCCGACGCCTTCCTCGCCCACCTGCAGCGGTGCCTGCAGACGCCCTCGGGCGTCGACACCGCCCTGCTCTTCCTGTGCTACACCTCGCGGCTCTCGGCCTCGCTCCTCGAGGCCGCCACCCGCCCCGCCGTCGCCCGCAGCGCCCGCCAGCTGCTCGCCGTCGCCGCCGCGCTGCCGCCGTCCGCCACTCTCGTCTTCTCCGCCAAGATACTGCCGTCGTCCGGCGCCGCGGCGCTGCTGGACCTGGCGAAGCGGCTGCGCGCGCTCAGCGTGCTGCTGAGTGACGCGCGCACGTTTCTGAGGCTGTGGGGGCTGCTGAATATGTATTTTTGGGCGCGGAGGCTGGTGGTCAAGTGGCGCGCGAGCAAGAGTCCGAGGCAGAGTCAGAGTCATCAAAGTGCCGGGGAGGGGGAGAAGAGCAGCGGTGCCGCCGGTGGTGCCGGGAAAGAGGACCGCGTGGAGACGGCGATATCCTGGGTCCAGCTCGCCGCGTGCGTCGTCTTCCAGTCGCTCGAGAACGTCGCGTACCTGTCGTCCAAGAACGTGCTGGGCTGGTCGCCCGCGGCCCAGCGCAAGGCGGGAATCTGGAGCGCGCGGTTCTGGGCCGCGTTCGTGGGCGTCGAGCTCGGGAGGTTGGTCTACGAGTCCAGCAGGCGCGGGTCCCGCACCCGCGCCGAGAAGTTCGCCGGCGGGAAGACCGCCGCGCAGGTCCAGGCCGAGGAGGCCGAGTGGACTGACGCGTGGCGCAAGAGCGTGGTCAGGAACCTCGCTTGGGTTCCGCTTACACTTCACTGGAGCTCCGAGACTGGACTCCTGGGTGAGATGGCGGTTGGTGCGCTTGCGAGCGTGCCGGGGGTTATCCAGATGCGCGATTTGTGGAAGAGGACGGCGGAGTAGGCTGGGATGGGAATGGGGGGAAGGCTAATGAGTGATGGTGGCTAAGCGAAGGGGTAAATATAGGAGGATGTGAGCTGATGTTGAGGGGGGCTAATGGGGGGTTGTAGACAGAGGTGATACTAGGTTTTGCTGGATATAGCACCTAAAAACAACGATTGAAATCTTAGGCGAAGATAGATTCGATGTATGATGGAGGAGAAGCGGTAGACTTTTTGTCTTAATATCTCTGTATGAATTGTTCGGCATTTCGATGAATTGAAAATAATGGGAGAGGACACCCAAGCATGTGTTTCCCTATACCCATTGCATATCTCGTATAGACGTTATAAATGACAGTGTCTACATTGTTCGTGGAAATGTTCCATTAAGGACTTCGTAACAATGCGGTCTATCTTAGTAGGCAGAGTATTCCTATGAAAATTTCATTTGATGCAGGAGGTAGGAAGTGATCAGAGACATCTTACTTGAGGCTGAGAATAGCTATTTTCATGTCTAGAGGCTAGAAGGAGCTCTTCGTTAGAGACGCAACTATCTCAAACGTATGCGGAACCATGTTTTTACGCAGATATCTTGCTGATACTATATACTAGTTGACTCAACAGCCTGCAGAGGTGCGTCTCTAGTTTACGTTTATCAGTTATAACAATGACAATGAGTTAGCAAAATATGCTGGTGTCGATCTAGTTGAGTTTTTAGGTTAGTTATATTTGGGTGTATCAAACAAATCCACGATCAGCTAACTGGTTTTAGGGGATGAGCTGCATAGAATAAGCCGCCGAAGCATCGGAAATAGGTCGCTTTGGGATCGTCCAAGACATGATTTATACGGCAATCAAATATGGTCAATGTATCCCTATCAGTCAATATTATGTCTGGTAGCAAATCATACAGGCTATAGGAGCAACTGTGTTTATACCCCTATGATTGTTGTGGGGTTATTCCGTTTTGTTGCCAGACGGAATGACCACTCTAACTAGCAGTATCCAGCTTGCTGCTTCGGTTTCCATGTGTTTATTTGCTTAGTAGTACTTCAGTAGCACGCGCACTTCACGTCTTTAACTTTAGGTATTAAGTCATGTTGATTATACTACTTCCTCCCTTCCTTCTCGCCTCTCTCCACATCGTCCTATCTTGTCCTGCAGGTGGGACACCAACCAACAACATGGCCGAACCCTTTTACCTCGTACCCGAGGTCATCAGAACGTCTGCCAGGGCAGCTAATGCCGTGGTGAATTATTCGCTGAAGGTGAAGGACGCTCCCAAGCAATTCAGGCTAATCGAGCTGGAGACGAAGAAGCTCAAGCTCGTCCTGGAGGCCATCGAATCGACGTTAGACCCGATGCAGAAGGCGGCTCAGGCACAGCTCTCGGAATCTTTGGTGCAGTGCCAGGAAACGTTATCCGAGCTTGAGCGTATTGTGCTCCCGGAAAAGGAGATTTCCGGCTCCGAATTGACGGTGGCACGGCGGCCGCCTCCGCGTGCCTGGGATTGCTTGACGACAGCGCGCCAAATAGGAGATTACCAGGATGGGGGACCTGAGCCCACGTATCAGAGCCGCATGTCCCTTTCCAGGCAAGTCAAGTGGCCGTTCATCGAACAAGCAAAAGCGAATGGCTTGCTAGAGCGGCTCAAGCAACACAATGCTTCCCTGGGTCTGTCGCTGGAGATTGGCAATACGTAAGTAAAGTTACGCTGGGTTTCGTGGTCCTTTGGCTGACTTGGGAGGATAGCATGAGTCTCAGTGATATCAGTAAGTCCGTAAAGGACATCGAGGCGAATTTGGATGGTAAGGCGTACTTGCTATTTGCTTTGAGAGCCGTGAGGTGTGCCCCTGGCTGACGCTGGTTAGACGCCGAGAAGAGAAGAGTTCTGACTTGGCTCGACCCGAAACTGGATATGCGCGACTTCCATACGGATCAACGCGAAAAACAAGAAGACGAGACGTGTGAATGGCTTACCAAATCGGAAGGTTGGAAGCAATGGCTCGACCCACGTACTTCTGATGCCGATGGGTACCGGCGCTTCGTATGGATTTATGGTATTCCTGGTGCTGGAAAGACGGTCCTCGTCTCATTCTTGATCGACGAGGTCGCCAAGCATTGCAGGTCTATCGGATGTTCTTACTATTATTGTTTCAACGAGCGAAATCAGGAGGAGACAATTCCGCTTCTGCGATGGATCGTCGGGGACTTGAGTAGACAGGCTGGGCGCGTCATCCCGAAGGCCCTTGAAGACCTGCACGAAACAACATCCTTTACTATCGATGGCTTAGTGAGCTGTTTCAAGGCTCTATGCATTTGGTTTTACCAACAGAACCGGCGGGTTTATCTGCTGATCGATGCCGTGGACGAGAGTAAGAAGCCACGAAACAGGCTGCTCAACTTATTGATCAGGATTGGCACAGATGATGATTTCCATAACGTGTCCCTGCTGATGACAAGCCGTGAGGAGCCTGATATTCGGGAGGCGATGGATGGCTTGGGCCTACAGAAACCGGAAAGATCTTTCGGCGACGATGCTGACGCTGAGCCGCTTTCTCCCTACACGCCTGTCACGATGTCGAACCGTGAAGTTACGCTCGCAATCAACAAGTATGTCAAGAAGAAATTTGAGAAAAGCAACAAATTTCGCATGTGGCCGCCGCATTTTAAAGAAAAGATAGCGTCCGATTTAGCAAGGAACGCCAGAGGAATGTGAGTAACCTACTACGACAGCCGTAGGACATTGGCTAAATGATACTTTGTCTAGGTTTCGATGGGTCGCATGCCAGATTGATATCCTCGAGCGCCTTTATTTGGATCAAGATCGAGTCCTGCAGGCGATCAATGATATGCCGGCAGATCTCTTTGGCACATACGCGAAGGTACTCGAACAAATCCCGCCTGAACAGCAGCCGTTCGCTCACACAGCTCTCGCGCTCATTTGCAGCAACACTAGCCATATCAAAAGTGCCGATGTGCTAGTGGAAGCGTCTCTTCATAACGTCCAGCATGGCGCAGTCCAAATGTTCGGCGTGCAAGCCTTGAAGGAGATCTTAGGGTGTCTAATCAAGACGAGCGACCTAAGGAGACAACCCGAACGTATCTTCCTACGTGATGATGATAACAGCCTTACCCTTCAAAGGGTCAGTGTCGCCCACTACACCGTAAGGGAATTTCTCTTCAAGGAAGGTGAGCCAAGACCAGCAGGGAAATTTGCTCTGTCGAATGACGAGATTCGGACGCTGGAGATGGAAGTTGTGTTCAACGGCCTGCAGCGCTGGGGAATGAATCGTCCCCCTGGCTCAAAATTCCCGACACGCTATGAGGAGCACTGTCTTGACATGAGCGAGGTTGCTCTGAGGAGAGATCGGCAAGGTATCCTCGTCAAAGATGAAAGCGTATGGAGATCGGTAGTGCCATGCCTCTCGCCCAATTGTCTTCACTTCAGGGAT